GCAGGAATGTAGTGGTGAGCACGGAGTCAGCAGCATATGTGTTGGCAGTTACTGAAGCCTCTGATGATATGTCTCTGGGCAGTGGCCCTTAGCCACAGCAGCATGTGCTGTCTCATATCCTGCCTTAGAAAGATGCTAGGATGATAGGAACAGTGACTTTTCTTGCTGCCTCCCTTGTAATTTTTTTCTAACCTTCACAGAAGCCTGAGTTCACCATACAAAAGTCACTGGGGGAAGCAGACCAGCTATAGATATGCACAGTGTAGACTGCATTGGAGGGCTGGGACCAGGGCCTTCCAATAAATCTCGGGTCTTAAAAGTTCCCAGTGTTGTTACTTCCTAGTCTCCTACTCAGCTCTCCCAATACACCTTGCATCTGAGCTGCAGCAGCTTGGATATTCCACACCTGGGGTCCCCATACAAGTCTGCTCCCATAATAGTGACAGCTGCATATCCCCCATCCCCTCATAGTCCAAGTCCAGGAACCATAGTCAACTCTCTCCATGCATTCCTTCCCTGACCTGTAGCTCCATTTTCTACTCCACTGCTCCTCTCCACCTCCCTTGCTGTTGACCCATTCCCTGCTCAAAGCCTGCTAACAACACCAAATGGTATGGTGCTCTAGCAATATACCCATTGGGATCTACAATTTCAAAGCTCTTGTTGATGTGCCCTAATCAGATTTAGCTGTTCAAGTCTCCACAGCTGACAGTCATGTCACAGTCCTCCTCTCCACCACTGAGCCCTTCTTTGGGAATTAGTCTTCCAGTTCAATGATGTAATTACTTTCCTGTTACTTTTTCCCATTTACACAAAGCAAGGGCAAAAGTCAGGTGTCTTCTGCCATGTTTGATTAGATGCCACCTGGGAAAGACATTGTGTGACAAAAATCTAGCGGGACTTGTTTTCTGCAGTACATTCAATTGTTGCTTCATGTACAAACCAGCCAGGCCAGACATTATGAGCCCTTGGGCATTAGAAGCTCTTCTCCAGGCAGAAACACAGGAAAAGCTAAGATGAATCAACTGAAGTTGTAAAGGAGGATTAAGCCACAGAAAACAAAAGCCAATTTACTTCTGAATGAAAGCATGCCACGGGAGGGCTTGATGTGCTTCAGCAGATATGTGGTAGCATCATGTCTTTGACAATTCGTCTTCTTTCCTGAGTGTCTGACTGCAGCATCTCATAAGAGCCACAAATGAATGGGCTTCAGACTCCTGTTTTCTTCTACACTCCAGGCTCCCTACCTGGACTTCATCTCCCCTCATTCAGCACATGCCCTAGCCAAGGATGGAGACTGTGAGAGATGCAGTTGGACCATGAGGCCTGAAATACAGCTCCCATCAGCCACACTCAGCTGTGCCAGCATTTTAGGTTTTCTTCAGCTAAAATATTTCAGATTTTGACTTTTCACTAAAAATTTGAAATTTCCTGTGGAAGTCTGCCTCCTATTCCCCTCCCACCACTTTCCAACCAGTTCTACCCAAGGGTCAAACTGCCCTTTCTCCTGTAGGGAAGAGGGAGACCAGTATGTGCAGGGCCAGTCTATAAACAGGGATACAAATGATCCCCAGAGGCTTGTACCAAGATGGTAGCTGTAACTCCCCCTGGTTATTACTGCCTATGCTCATGATAGTCATCAGGGACAGGTTAGGCAATAACTGGATTCTGCATTTCAGATGCTCAAACAAACAGGCTAAGGCCGTAAGCTCAAAAATCATTCAAGAACACGCTTTCTTGCTAGATTTTCCCCATTGCTTCCTGTTTCAGCTGAGAGGGGTATAGAGGTGTCTTCTATCTCCTTGTTCTGAACAGAGCCAGGGAAACCCAAAGTGCCTGAAAATAAACTATGGGGAAAAAAGAAAACTTGGACAGAGCCTTTACAAACCTGTGAGGAGGCTAGGGGGCTGTTTTCTATTTTCATTTAGGATGGAAGGTTGCTGGACAGGAATATTATGGTTTATATACTGGTGAGGGGTTCCTCTGGGCTGTATGAGTTTTAGGGAAGAGTCAGGTGAAATCTTAATTTATCCAGTGTGATTCAAAAATCCTTACATCGGGTTTGCCGTTTGCTAAACCCAGTGCTCTCAGCAGATGTCTCTGCCTGGAAGGACCTGGGGGAGGGTGGGGGCACCATTTTGGGAGGGGAAGGTCAGGCACACGTTCAAATTAGGAAGAACTTCTTCACAGTTAGAGTGGCCAAAGTCTGCAACAGGCTCCCAAGGGAGGTGGTGCTCTCCCCTACCCTGGGGGTCTTCAAGAGGAGGTTAGATAAGCATCTAGCTGGGGTCATCTAAACCCAGCACTCTTTCCTGCCTATGCAGGGGGTCGGACTCGATGATCTATTGAGGTCCCTTCCGACCCTAACATCTATGAATCTATGAAATGCAGGAAGATCCAAACCAAACCCTTGGATCCAAATGCCCCCCCATTCTTTCTCTCACTTGAATTCTGATCCACATGCTGCAGCTTCAGCCCATCTCCACTTGAAAGTGGCCTCAGCTGTGAGAGGGGGCGGGGAGGAGACGTCCACGCTCTGACGGAGCAGTGAGAATGGGTGGCTGGTATGTTCCCCATGGGGTCAAGTGCAAACCTAGTGCTTGTCTTCTGGAAAAGAAGCAACCCTGGGCAAATAGTGAGCTTCTAGTCCTCTCTGTGGCAGGATCCCATCAGCTTGTGTGTAAATGCATCATTGCCCTTAACTAGATCCTGCAGGTCTTGTTCCAGTAGGACAGATGTCCCATGCATTCCTAGATAGCATGGCTTGGTGCCGTTGTGGCCTGCGGGCAGGCAGGCTGCCTGGTGGTTGTACCCTCTGCCCACGCAGGCAGGCATTGTTAGAGCGGCACCCGATCGGGGACTCTGCAATTCTTTGGGGCAGTACATGACGCCTTCGAAGCACTGTGTGGCCAGCTGCATCAGCAATGCTCTCTAGCATCTGTAAATTTCCATGTATACTGAAAAGGGGGAATGGGTCAATCTCTGTTTTACAGATGAGGCAACTGAGGTCCAGAAAAGGGAAGCAGCTTGCTCAGCAGAGTCGGGAACAGAGCCCAAGTCTCCTGAGTCACCGCTTGGTGCCCTTGGTCCCTGCACATCACTGCTTTCTGCTGAGTTAAACCCAAGACTATCAGGTCGAAACAAATATGCTTCCTTCTGCAGAGCTGAAAGAGCAGCTCTGTGAACCAAGGGGTGGGGAATCTGGGGAAGGCTGAGCAGGTCCAATGCTTTCCATCAGGTGGCAGCGCTGTACAGAGCAACAGAAGCCAACCCCATCGAGATGTGAGCGAAACGGCAGGAGATGCCGTACTGTCCCCTGGCTTCCTGGCAGCAAGCACAGATGATCTGGTGAAAACACCGAACTCTTCCCCCACACGCTCCCCCTTGTACCACAGTTGGGGCAGTCTGGCCTGCCAGCCTCTTACCTGTTTGCAGGGCCAGGGTGAGCAGGGGTCAGTAGGGTCTGTTAGCATCTTTTGGCCGCTTTAGTTGGACCTTTAGCCTCTTCATGCCGATCTGGAAGCCGTTCATGGCCTGAATGGCTGCCTGAGCACTAGTTGGATTGTCAAAACTGACGAAACCTGGGGGTGGGGGAGGGGGTGAAAGGGGTGGGAACGGAGAAGGAAGGACACAGGTCATCACCAAAAGCACCAGAGACCCTGTCCTCTCATCACACTCTCACTCCAGGCATCCAACACTAACTGCCAGAAAAGCACAAAGGGGACTGCCCTAAAGGCTCTGGTGCAGAGGAGAGAGAGGGGAGGCTGGGGAAATTGTGACTGCGGCCCTGGGGCACTCAAGGCCTGGTTACCAGGCGCCCCCCAAATCCTGAAGTTACATTAAAAAAAAAAAAAAGCAGACGCAGTGTCTGGTTGCTGATCTTTGAGCCCTGATGGGTGTGAGCAGCCTGCAGCCAGGCCACGTGCGAGTGCCAAAGGGCCGAAATCCAACCTTACGTGCACCTGAAGCCTCTTTACTGGCTTCTCCTTGCTGGGAACTCCGCTTTCCCCCCTGCCCCTGGAAAGGAAGCCATTTTGTTTCCTTCCACCTCCCTTTCTTATCACCATGCTTCCTGCCCTCCTTATATGCCCCCTCTCCACTCTCCTGACCCCCATATTTTTCCTTAATCCTCACATTCTGTCTCTGCCTCCTAGACCTCGACTCTCTCATAGCATCCCTCCTGCATTTCTTCAGTGTCCTTCTTGCACCCCACACGCCCTCGGTCTCCTGTATTCCTCTGCACCATCTGAGTTTCCCCAGCTCTCCTCTATCCCCTTACAGTTTCCTAACAGTAAAATACAAGAGGCAGGTATTTCTACTACGGATAGCCTAGCTTCGGTGCCACTGGAAATGTCAACCAATGGACAATGTCAACCACCTTTACGAGGGGCAATCTCCCTTCTATGTGGAAGCTACGGAGAAATGGCAGCAGTCTTCAGTGAGGGAAACCTGTAGCTTCAGTCCTGTTTAATGTAATGTTACATGATGTCTGTTTGAGAAAGGGCAAATGTTTGAGAGTGGTCTGCCAGCAACCAGGACACCCTGGGAAGCCACATTTGTCCCAATTTTCAAAACATGGGCACCAAAATCCTACTGTTTATATCTACAGTGTCCTGCTTCCATTATAGAATAACTCCCGCCCCCGGGTAATGGACTGCCAGAAGGGGCTTAACATACACCATTTTAAACCCAAAGCTAAAGGCTTTCCCTTGCCCTGTCCTTGTTACAGCACTGAGAGATGGAGGCCTTGAGCCAAGCTCGGTTTTAAAGCCAAGAGTTTGTGCTTCTCTGACAAAGGATGGCTGCGCTTGGGAGCCAGTCAGAAAATCATGCTGCTACCCTGTCAAACCTTTGCCTCTGTGCTGGAACAGAACTGGGAGACCTGAACTTTGGAGCATCCTCCTGCTTCTTTTTCCTTTGGTTGTTGCTGCTGTATCTCCAGCTCCTCAGACCAGAACACAAACACCATCATGCTGTGAAAGAGGCTGTACAGCTCTACTCAAAGCAGAAAACAGCCCAGGAAATACAGCCCATTTCCCCATGACTACAAGCCCCAGTATCACAAGGGCAATGGATAGTTTAGTGATGGCTCCCCTGAAGTTCTGAGGGCTTGGCTGAACCAAACCTTTGAACAAGAGGTGGGCCCAGAGCTGAAACCCCAGATACAGAAGCTACAAATCATGAGATTTGGAGCCAGAACTAGGCTACAAATTTAGCAAATGGCTCTGACCTTTATGACGGTCTCAGCCAAAACCCTGGACATGGAAACTTGAGTTTTCAAGGGACATGAGCTCTGGGAGCTGGTTCTCTGCCTTGAATCATTTGTTAGCATTTATCTTAGAACAAACACAGGTTGTGCAACATTTGTGCAACATTTTTCTATCACATTGCATAGAAGTAGAGATGACACAGGGCACAAGGCAGTGAAGAACCAGGGCCCTAGAAGTGACTTTTGTCCCTATCTCTGTCCTTTATAAACACAGCTTTGATATTCCCATACCCACTTTCTCTGGCTTCACCCCTGATCTCAACCCTGAGCATCCATATTAAAGAAACCCAGACTTTGTCCACAGCTGATCTCCAGGACAGCCAAGAACTGCCCCAACACGCAAAGCATCCCCACCATCCCTCAGTTGGCTGGCCAACGATCTCAGCTCAGCCCTGGAATTTCAGACAACAGTGCACAGTGCTCAGCACCTCATGGAGATGCAGTCCAAGATCCAAGTGGCTGCCTCAGCAGCACCGCATATTTGAATGGCCTCTGCCTGTCACCTTATGCCATATTTTTTCCCCTCTCCTGGCTAACATCTGCTGCAATAAAAATGTAAAGTGCAGCAATAACTTGCAGACTTACATCAAGCCTGGCAGCTCCATTTGTCCCAGCCCCTTCTGGGAACTGACAGCAGGGCCCAGCAGGGGGCCATTTTAATTGAACGTACCATTTTCACATCCTTGAAAGGGAGCGTGTTGGGGGAACGGATCCTTTCCTCTCGATGGGTTGCAGGTGGCCACTCTGTAATTATTTCCTCATTTCCTTTTAGCATCGGAAAGAGGCTCCATGGAGCTGCA